AGACCAAGGACTCGACATTGTTCCAATATCCACCGACTTACACGAGTTTCGAGGTCTCGTTCGATTTTTGAGAAAATTGAAGAGATCCCGAACATACGAACACATAAAATCATAACGAACACACAAATTATATCGAACACAATCGCAATATACACATCTCATACATCGAATCACAAAAGCACATCACTTTTATTTAAACACGATAAGCAATTAACATAAAAAAGATTTAAACGAGACGAGATCGACTAGGTACCGTTCTCGGGAAAAATCGAAAAACGGAACGAAAGAGAAGGCGAGCTCGTGCAAGCTCGACGGCAAGCGTCGTCCCGCGAAGAAGGGTCGTCACTGCTGCTGGTCTCGGTCGGAGATGGCGGCTCGATGAGGCACTGAAACGGGCCTGCGAGGAGGAGCAGGGGCCCCACGAGGAGAAGCACGGCAGAAAGGGGGTCCCTGAAAATCGCTCGCCTGAGGTTCACGGCAGAGAGGAGGAGCAGCGGCCCTGCTGCTCGCGAAGGAGTGTCGTCGGGGGCCTGCAGGTCGTGGCAGGGGTCTTCACGGCGTGACGGGGGCTCTGGTCGCGGCGTGACAGGTTGGGCGCGGCGTGACAGGAGTTGCTGGGAGGCGTCGCGGCGCGGCAGCGAGGAGGTCGCGGCGCGGCGGTGCTGTTGGGTCACCAGACGTCGTGGACTGCTCGCAGGGAAGACGAACTCGCCGGAAAATCACGAAACAGAGGTCGCCGGAGGGTTGCAGACGGAGGAAAGAGGCGAAAGAGCTGCTGCGATGGTGACGAGCGACAGAATTTCTTCGTGAAGGAGATGAGAGGAGCGAGGGAGTAGGGGGATGGTGATTCGCGTCTGGCTCGGCGCGGTGACGATGAGACGTCGATGATGGGATCACGATGATGGTGAGGTTCAGAACAACGAGAAAGAGGATCTTCTCTGACTGCGCGATCGCGAAGGAGCAGAGCGAGGGAATGATGGGTCTCGATCGAAAAGGATCAGATTACGATCGGGAAGAGGGAAAAATTCTCCTGTTTGATGGCTGCGAGAGTTTGATTTGAGAAGAGTCTCGATCGAGAGCATATATACAAACACGCTAGGTTAAGATCACGTCGCACAAGGACAAGAAATCTCTTGGGCTGGGCCAGGTGGCGGGTTTAAATGGGCCGAGGCGCCGGTTCGCAAATTAAATCGGCTCACGAGCCCGATTACAATTCAAACGGATATTCTCGGGCTCAATTTCGGATCCAACGAAAATTTTTCGGGCTCGATAACGAATTCAAACGCACAATAAAAATAAACCAAACAATATATATATATATATTTTTACATATATATATTAATACACATTATTCACATTTAATAATTTACTAAATCACGAAAATCAATTAGACAATTTAGACATTTAGCATTTAATCACATTTTTGCAAATAAATAATATCATAAATCAAAATATGCAATTAGAAATTAATTGTCAATTAGACGTATAACATTTAGACATTTAAATTTACAAGCAAAAATTAATAATAACACAATAATAATAATAATAATAATAATAATAATAATAATAATAATAATAATAATAATAATAATAATAATAAATAATCATAAATAATTCTCAAATAAACCTCAATTAAATGGGGCATTACACTGGGTCCGTACACACATAATTAATGTAAACAGGCAAGTCCTAATTCAAATCTGCACAAAGTTGAATTAATATGGGCTCTGATATCAGTTGTTGGGTTCTATGAGGAACGTCAACGACAAGCACATTATTGAACTTATCGAAATAAATCCTAACGCAGTGGAATCTATAGTTAGGACTAGGACATTACCTTTTAAATTTTTTGCCGACTCAAAGACGTTTCTGATTTCCTTTGATGGAGATCGTCTGATTACCACAACTCAATCGGTTGAAGAGTTTGGCCTTTTTCGACTCTAGTCGAGTGTTGAATCACGAACGGATCACCGGAATGAACTTCTCGGGCTCGGACCGATTGGGCAGGTTCGGATTGCGTCTCGAGTCGGGTCGGGCTGTAGCGGCTCCGGTCGCGGACAGCAGCTGGTCGGGACCGGTTAGCACGAGTCGCGGACTCTGGCTAATGCGCGTCGTGGCGTGACGAGCGGGCCTCGGTCGAAGGTGGTCACTGGCGAGAGGGGATCGGGCGCGTGCGTGTTGCGTATCCTGGTCGCGCTCGGAGTCCTAGGCGAGTGAGGACAGCGGGTGCGTGTCGTGCGGTCGCGGGAAATGCTGGGCGCTATTCCTACGCGCAGGAGGACGAGGTCGGGATCACGAGCAGGGACGATCGGGACGGTGTCGCTGGGGTCACGGCTGGGACCTAGGCACGAGGTCTGGCTGTGCGCGGTTGCGGGCGGGGCTCGCGATAGCGCGCGGCTGGGCTCGGGCGAGGTCTTGGCGGCGATAGGTGGCGGTGGTGGTTTTCCGGCGGTAGTCGACGACGACTGGTGACGACGGTCGGCTAGGGAAGATGGCCGGAAAAATGAAGGTTTGGGGTTTGAAATAAAATCACCTTAAAGCCTTCTAATGGATTACCTCAACACCTACTTCAATTAATCTTGGTTGTGCAATTATTTAAATCTCCTTAACTCTTGATCAAGACAATTTTTCCTCTCTTGTGAAGTAGAAAAATCGGCCCTCAATGATGATGTACAAGAGGTTGGGACATGGTGTATTTATAGGCTTCATTAGGGACCTTAAGGAGGTGCCAAATATGAGCTTATCCCATTAGGCCAAGGAATCCTAATCTACTCCATAAACTAATCCTTACTAGGTCATGATTCATTTCTCGTAACATCACCTTCTAGAAGACTCTCTAATCTTCTAACCCTAGGTAATATTCTAGAAGGAATACTCCCTAAGTCTTGGAATATTAAATATGGAATAAAATTAGTTCCTCAAATCCTAATAAAATTAAATAAAAATATATCCCACTAGAATATTATTATTTCTCTCCCCATTTGGCTCCAATTTAATAAATTAAATCAAACTTCCACTTGATTAATAAATATTAATCTAATTGACCGATTTACCTCCCCATGTTTAAGATATAACGTTCGTCGATTAATTAAATTACTGACAAGATAATTATCAACTTCTTATTCATTTCCGAAATCACTACCACTCATAACTTTAATCATTGTGTCAGATAAACATCCACCTGCAGGGTTTAACACAATATTCCTTCCTGAGCTCATTTCGGGGACGTCATCAATCCAGCGTACTGGAACACAGTGACAATAAATAATTTATAATAGCTCGACATATAAACATTCTCATTTACTAAAGTGCCGAGTATGTCATCCTAACAAATTAGGAATCACCCTTGGTAAATCAAATAAACAAGTAATGAATGTACACGATTATTTTATATTATCTTACAGCTTTCGAGAACACGTCAATCACTGAAGGTATAGATTACAACCACGATCAGTGAGTCTCATAATCTTATCCTCCCGGTAGTCCTGTTCGATACTTAACATAAGTACTAGTGTAATTCTCCAGTTAAGGTCAACTGAATCAAGAATACACTACAGTCTTTTTCCAAGTGGGGTCTCACTGCCAGTCTAGACTATGAACACTTGATTTAATCTTACAAGGAACCGATAGGTGACCTTTCTGTTCGAGACACCACGAACCACACTATCTCAATGTAAGACAATGAGTATGATTGCATAAATAAATAAACTGCAAGCATATATATACTTTGACTTAAACATGATTGTCAGATCAAAATAGAATTGTTCATATCTGAAAGCCAAGCTTTTAAAGCATATCTAACACATACGAGCTCAGTGATATGGAAGGGCGAGTGTTACCACGACCATGGAACATACTCCACTTGAAGAAGTATTATACCTAGCTGAGAAGATTCTCTTATATAATAATTGTTCGAATAATTGGTGTTATCTTCTTTCTGAATAATGTTGCCTTCTTTGCGAATAATGTCATTTCCTTCTTGAAAAATAAAAATTGTAGTTTTCTGAATTAAGCTTGTTTTGGAAGCATGTTTCGAAATATCTTAAGATCGTTGAGCTCGACAATAATATTTTAGGGCGGAAACCTGTGTTGAAATATCGTAAGCTTGTTGAGCTCGGCGATAATAATTTAGAGCAGAAGTCTGTGTCAAAATATCGTAAGCTCGTTGAGCTCGGCGATAATATCTTAGGGTGGAAGCCTGTTTCGAAATATCGTAAACTCGTTGAGCTCGGCGATAATATTTTATGGCGGAAGCCTGTGTCGAAATATCGCTCGTTGAGCTCGGCGATAATATCTTAGGGAAGAAGCCTATTTCGAAATATCGTAAGCTCGTTGAGCTCGGCGATAATATTTTAGGGCGGAAGCCTGTGTCGAAATATTGTAAACTCGTTGAGCTCGACGATAATATCTTAGGGCGGAAGCCTGTTTCGAAATATCGTAAGCTTGTTGAGCTCGGCGATAATCTTTGAGGGTGAAAGCCTGCTTCAGAAAAGCTACACACTCGCCAAAGCCTAGTAATTTTTAAATAATAAGGAAGTTCGAGAGTTGGTCGAGCTTAGGGGCATATAAAATGATCTTCTATTGAGTAGAAATTGTAATTTGTGTAGAAGGATGTCTTGGTAGCCCAGTTATGAACAATATACCAGCGGTCGCGCTCGGTAATTGGAAAATTTCGCATGCTAATGGTTATGTATCAGTTCAAAGTTCGGTGAAGGGACTTGCAATTTTTACGCATTTGTCAATATGGTTATATAAGTAATACTTCTGAGCCCGGTATAAGAATTAACTTGTTGCCGCATTAGGGCAGGAAGGTCGGCAAGTAAGCGTAAGGGAGAATATATTAAAAGCACTTAGCAACACAACATGTTCGATTGATTGAAGTAAATAGATAAAAGACAAGCGAACATTCAAATGATAAGAAGCCATGAGATGAGCTTACAATAAAAATTCATAGTTCCAAACATCAAAAAGTCAAAAGCAGCAATTTTATAACGAAACTAAGGTGATTCTTCTTGGTCTCCCTCCTCCTCTTCATCGTCGCTGGCTAGCTCGGCCTTTTTCTTGGCCACATCAAGCACTGGTGTCCACCATGGTTGGTCAGCTGGTTGTGATTTATTGCCATTCCACCCAACGGGATCGGGAAGACCAGTTAGTATGGCAGTCTCGTCCGCAGAACAAATGAATCCCTGCTCCCGGTCCCGAGCGATGGTGCGCTCCACACCCACTTGGAAATACTGAATACAGGCGGGGCCGAGCTTACCCAGGAAAGCTGTAGTATGTTCAAAGTATTTCAATAGCTCGATGCTGTAATACTCGAGAAAGCGAGTGCCAAAGACAGAAGAAATGAAGGAAGTCTCGCCGTCAGAACGAGCTTGGGCAATGCGCTGGTCCATGTAGACGCGAAGGGAAACCAATTTGGATTCCTTAGCATGCGTCTGGTTGTGAAAGCGGACGACCTCAGCCTCTTTTGACTATAGTTGTGCCGTCAACTGGTCCATCTCTTCCTTCTGGCGGTCATAGCCCTCTTTTATGCTAGCCAACTCGGCCTTAGCTATGTCATGCTCATTCCGGAGAGTTTCGACCTCAGAGGTCCCTCCTATACCCTCATGAAGAATATGAGCTAGGCCAGCCAAAGTCTAAGAAAAAGAGATAGTACAATAAAAAATAAAGGTGAGAAACGTTATCATAAGAAGAGAACTGAAAGAGATACAGGACGCGGTGATGAGGATACCTTTACCAGGTTGAACATAGTAACTGAGGCCTGGGTTTGGCTGTCTTTCCAGCTAGAGGTTTCTCCCTCTGGAAATATTGAAAGAAGGTAGGTGACGACTGAGCTAGTGTCAGAGTTGCCAGCAAAGGAGTTCGGTTGCTCTAGCACAGGTTTGGGGCCAGTGTCTTTTTTGGACAACAGCTTGGCTTTTTTGGCGTTAGACTCATTTCCTTTGGACAACTTACAGCGTTTTGTTTTCGGGTCTTGAGAAGCTGATTGTGAGGGAGAGTGTTTGTCTTGGACACCTGAGGCAGGCAGGTCGGCAGACGGGTTGGCCAGGTCGGCAATGGTCTCAGCATGCTGCTATAGTTGAGCAGGGTTCTCGGCGTGCTTAGGGGTAGCGAGGGCCGCGATGAAAATGCTCTCTGCAAGATCGAAATATATAGGAGAAAGAAGTGGATTAAAGTTAACATGTTCAAGGAGATATTAAAATGACATAAATTATGATTAATTATCTCGTCGCAATAATACCCACCTATGTCGCCCACAGGAGTAGCAGGGCGGTTAGACAACTTAAAGTGATGAAGTAAGCGAATGTCAGATGTTAATTTTACAATATGGAGAGATATTTTGTTTCATTCTTGGATGAGGGCATCGTACTCAGCGTTGGGGCGAGGATTGTTGCGTTGGCGAGGTAGCTCATGGATGCACTCGGGTTGGAAATCAACGTGTCCGCAGGAGGGCAGAGATAGTAAAATTTACTCTTCCAATTGTGGATCTTGGAGGTCGGTCGGATAATAAAATTAGCGTCATGGCGAGCCGATAGATAAAAGGAGGTGCCTAGAGGTTTCATCCAAAGACAATAAAAGCACAGTTTGGGGTCTAATATGCCTAGCTTAGCTCAGAACACTATGATGAATCCCACTAACATCCTAATGGCATTTGACACGAATTGGTTTATAGGCAAACGGTATAAATTGCTAAGTGTTATGAGATCATCCCGTAGAAGGAATTTCAACCTGGCTGCCGCTTAATCAAGAAAAAAAGTGTAATAGCCCGGCAGCGGATTGTTATACGTATTGTTGGGTAGCGGCACCTTCAGCTTCCAACCACTGGAAAGCTCGACTTCCTAAAAAATTTTTGCTATTTTATCGGTAGAATAAGAAGCTAGGGCACTGGGGCATGTAGAGGTAACTGTGGGAATAACGCCTTTGGCTTTATCAGTAGTTGAGGAGGAGGTAGCCTCACCCGTGGGAGCTGGCAAGGCTAGGGTCAACGACGACTCACCTATGGGTTCAGAATTGGAAGGAGAGAAGGTGTTAAAGTTAGACGAAGAGACGGGACGAGCTAGTGTGGTGGAATGCAGCATGATAAAAATAAAGGTATAATGACAAAAGGATAAGAGGACAATAGATGTGTATGCAGATGGATGCGGTAAAAAAAATAAATAAATAAATTAGAAGGAACGAAATTCAAATACAGGGATGATGCTTACCCATGAGATTGTTGGGATAGCTACAGACGGTTGGTCGGAATGCGCGAAACGTCGGAGCGTGGGCACCGTTGCCGGATTCAGATTTTTAGAAAATCGTGTGGAACTGGAGTTGAGTAATGTGTAAATAGTGAAAGAAATAAGAATGGATCTAGACCATGAGATCAAGCATATTAATGGTTATGATGAAATCAAAATATGGTCAATCATTAATGGCAATGTGGTAGTTATTTGATTTTGGTGGTTCAAATATGTGCATTTAACAAATAATTAAGGGTAATATGGTACATTTAATTCAATTCTATCAACATGTGGGACCCACCACTACCATTTTAATTCCTCCACAAATTCGTATCTAACCCACCTACCCCTTTCCTCATTCTCTTACACACACAAATTACAGAACACACACACATTCACGCACTGTGAGATGCCGGACCACCGAGGAGCCACCGCACACGCCGCCTCACGCCGTCGCGCCTGCAACCAACTCGCCTCTCGACATCCTTGACATCCGCCGGACACAACCACACTCTCTATCTCACTGTTACCATGGTAACACCTCGTTGGAAAATCGCGTCGGCTTTCCACCACCGTCGATGGTCGTCGTCTCCTCCAACACATACGTCGTCTCTCCGCCAAGTCCCCAATAGCTCGGCACAGATCCGGCGCCGGGGATGTCGTTTCCGCTGCAATCTGTCCCAAAAGCACGGAACAGCTCCGCCGGCAGTCTCCACCACAATCGCTCCTCAACAGTCCGGCACAGCTCGGCTATCTCCCACGCTCAGTCGTATTTGGCATAAAAGGCCGTCGTCGATCCACTGGACACTGTCGGGTGGTAGCAACTCGAGAAAGTCCGCCAGGAATGGACAGAAAATGAGTATAGGACCTCTGCAAATTTTCCGCCAACGTTACACCGGCGCGGCGAAGCGGCAACGTGTCGTCCGACGGGTCACAGCCGCCGGCGGAGGCGGCTCGTACGGCAGGGGGCGGCTGTGTAAGGTGTTTGTGGATTGGGGTTGTTGTATTGAGAATTTAATAAAATATAAGGACCTAGTTGCAATTGTAAAGATATTAATTTATTACAATTAAGTTCATGGGACATATTCATAATTAATCGAAAATTTTAATTTAGACGGTTTTGATCATTATTGTGCAATCTAATAGTCGTTTATGTGCAACCTGTCTAAAAATATTGTGCAATATCATTACGTAAAAAATGTAATAATAATAATAATAATAATAATAATAATAATAATAATAATAATAATAATAATAATAATAATAATAGTTCGATTGGTTCGATTATTTTGTTATTTTAAAAGCTAATGTATACATCGAACATGAATAACTGATATTTGAAAAGTAAAAATAAATATTCGATATGAAATATAAAAGTTTAAAATAAATATTGTATTTAGATCGATTTATGACTATATTGTGCAATATGATAGTCATTACAGTGCAATTTATATACCACTATTGTGCACTTGCATCACATGCATTTTTTTTATTATTTGTTCCATATCAAATTAAAATTAAACTGAAATAATCTGTTTATTTGATTAATTAATCGAATTTTCTAAATAATATAAAGATTTATTATTTGTACAATTATATTTATTAAAAAATAATTTTCGATTACACATAATTTATATGTGATCTTACAAATTATTTCACTTTATAAAAAAAAATTGCACTTTATAAAACAATGCGTTGCACATTATAAAACAACACATTGCACTTTATATAATAACAAGCTGCACTTTATCAACACGCTCCACAATTAGCGTCAATAATTACCGCCAAAATACAAGACAACATAAATCTAAAAAACGAATCACCATAATATTTTATCATACATCACTCATATGAAAACATAAGCATGTTAACATACGTACCAAACTTACAGTAGTTTTACTTTATATATCGTCACGTTGCACTTTATGAAACAATGCATTGCACTTTATAGAACATAGCATTGCACTTTATCATGACAATAATTCTCGCCAAAATACCGCCTACATAATATCGGTAGTTCAGTATGGTGACCACTTTATATTTTTTTAAATAAATGTTAATTATATTAATTAAATTAACATATCAATAAAACTAATTATTTCGGTGTTGGTTTAGTTTGAGACAAGTCATTAAAAAATAATTGCACTTATAGTGCACATTAGTGTTAGGCAGGTTGCACATTACTGATTATCAAATTGCACTATATCTATTAAACCGACATAAATATATATAAAAAAACAATATTATTTTGTTATATATATATATTTATTATTTTTATATTAATTATTGTTTCATATCATTTTTATTCACTTTTGTTTTTAATTATTTATGTTAGTATGTATGCAGGGAAAAAAAAGGTATAATAATAATAATATGTTTTTATAAATTATACATTAGACCCAAAGACTCAATTGTAATATATCTAAAATCAAATAAATTTCAATCAGGTCCCTCATACAAATCTAATTCTCAACAACCAGCCCTTCACACCTCTTTCCCCCCCTGTCTAGCGGCTCAGCCAGTCGGTTCAAGCCATTGCCATCAGCCGCCTCTCCGTCCGATCATATGGTGCTCAGATTCTCGTCTAATGCCGAGGAGTACGTGCCTCTTTTCCCGGCGATGCTGGGTGATTTTAGGCGGCGGAGGTCCGACGGCTTGGACGACTTTAGGGAGGAGGAGTTGCGGCGACATCGGACCTTGAAGATTGTCTCTCTGTTGCCGTGGCCGATGACATGAAGTTTGTCGAGATCCGCGGCGGAGATCGGGGATGTAGTCGAACCAGTGCGGCGGCCGGAGAATTCAGGAAGACAGGAGGTGGAGGTTGACGGGGCATCGGGGATCGGACGTGTGATGACAAAGGTGACGGCACGGCATCGGGCGGCGGAGATCGGGGGTGGAGCTAGAACCAGTGAGGCGGCCGGAGGATTTAGGGAGACCGGAGGCGGAGGCTGACGGGCGGTAGTCATCGGACGTGCGATGAAGAAGGCGACGTCGGGAAGGTTGACGGCATCGGTCGGTGACCGGCAAGGATGGAAGCTACTGTGCGTGAGTGTGTATCCGTGTGTGTCTGTGTGTGTATGTGTGTGTTGGTGTGTGTGCAGTATGTGTGTTGGGATGTGAGAGAGTGTTGGGACCCGTGTGTATGTGCAGAGAAAGAGAATGGGTGGGTCGGTGAGTTGGTGGTTGGGAATTGATTGGGATGAAGTGGGACCCATGGGCTGGTTGGCAATAAAATTACCACAGTGCCCTTAATGTGTTAAAAATCTATGATTTTTTTAGCCATTAGATCATCTGATCGAATGACTATGATTTATTCTTATTTCTCGCATTAAGAGTCATTCTCACCGGAGCGTGACCCTATATACTATATGTTATATACTATATGTTATATGTTATATGTTATATACTATATGTTATATGTTATATGTTATATACTATATGTTATATGTTATTTGTTATATACTATATGTTATATACTATATTTATATATTATATGTTATATACTATATACTATATGTTATATACTATATGTTATATACTATATTTATATACTGTATGTTAGATATAATATACTATATGTTATATGTTATATACTATATTTTATATGTTATATATTGTATTTATATACTATATGTTATATGTTATATACTATATTTATATACTATATGTTGCGAGTTTTTTTTTTATTATTTTTTTTAGAAAACGTATTACAGAAATACGTTTTTAACTGATATGAAAAAAGAAAAAACTTGTTTTTTCTATTGTTTCACCATTTAAAAACCTGTTACAA